CCTGTAGGGTCGCTATGAGTTGGAATTGACTTGATGGCAACAGGTTTGATTGGACCTTCCTACATTCTTCAGGGAAACCTGGTGGCATAGTGGTTAAGTGCTACATCTGCTGACCAAAAGGTCGGCAGTTTGAATCCACCAGACACTCCTTGGAAACTCTACGGGGCAGTTCTACTCTGTCCAGGGTCCAGGCCAAGACTCTCTTACTCTAGCAACTGCTAACACACTCTAGCTTCTATTTAGCTACTCCGACGGCACTTATTTTCATTAAGGCGCTCACTTTTACATGGTTTCCTAACTATATGATGCACAAGCTAAAGGGTAAACTAGTGAGGACAAAGTGCCTTTTCATTCCTCACAGTGTTAGTACTAAGCCTTACTTGAAATCCTATCAGAACTAAATAAATAGTTGTTGAATAGAGATAAGTATGTCTTGCTTCCTGAGACTTGTGTGCTCCTGATAGTAACTCCCCGAGTGTTTTCTATGAAATATACATTAAATGATGTATTAAACCAGTCTAAAAAGGTTTCTAAACATTTAGATTAGGCAGATCAGAAGAATTAAAATGCACATATACAAAAGAAATCTGAGGTCACATAAAGTTGTCAAGCAAATATATGTCATCTCCTATCACTGTCATTTCATAAAACACATATTTCAATATCAAAAAGGTAGGAAGAACATGATCTCAGAATAAAGAATAGTCCTTTCATCTAGTTGTATGAGAATCTCACTCTGCTGTTCTTTTTGTCATTTCCTTGTAAACTAGTGAATCTGTCACCAGGAATGGCAGAGGTCCATGAACTAGCATCTGGGAACCAAGACTTTATAGTTCATTAAAACAGATGCCTCCAGCTCTTCTTGTACATTGTAAAATTTAAAAAACAAAACAAAACTTAATTGTGGCAATTTAAGCAAGTAGAAAACAACCAAATAAGTATGTAGAAGCAGAATTTATACTATTTTTAAAAATCATTAATGTTGGAGCAATAAGAATTAGATAAATAACTAAAGTTAGGGCTAGGAGTTGTGGCGGTTGTTTTCTTGTATTTTTTTTTCTAAAATTTATTTTACAACCTTTTACTAGACTGCAATAAAGCAAAAACATTTCCCAACTCTAGTGACAACACTTGTACTACTGCATTGAATTTCCTATGTAGCCCCTAGCTTTGGAAACAAATATACCGCTATAGGTTGATGTTAGGTACATAATTTGGAGCTAGAAGGGGAGACTGAAATCAGAAATGTTCTGATAAACATTTAAAACATGAAAGAAAACTATAAGTTTATCAAACAGCCAAAGGTTAGATTCATTTCACGTTTCTCTCCTTTACTGTACACCCGTTACGCTGTAGGCATCAGGCATTACTGGGTACCAGAAATATAAATCCCCAAAGTCCAATATGGTGAAGTCACATTTAATGTAAGGGTTTGGTTCTAAAAGTCAAAATTTGGCACTAACACCAAATGTTGTTGAGATATGGGATAGCAGGACCTGTTAGATGCTGCTGGTAGGAGGATAAATTGGTCAGCCCTCATGAAATCAACCGTCTAGTTG